CCCAAGTGCTGGGATTACAGGTGTGTACTACCATGCCCAGTCTCAGCTGCTGTCTCAGCGCACCCCGGGGGTGGGGCCAGCACAGTATGTGGTGCCAAGGATTGAACCCCAGTCCCTGCAAGAGGTGTAGGGGTGGTTATCTTAGTTTTGGTGCACCTGTCTTCCTCCTGCTCTGCCCTCAGGTCTTTGATGTGAGTTCTTTGCCATTTATGCTATATGGTGCCTTTCTATCTCTGGTTTTCTCTACCCTTGTCCTTTTAATTGCAGAAGAATTCCTAAAATAAAGTTTTAACTCGTAGTCAGTTTTAGCCTGAAAACCTAATGAAGCCCCAGTTCTAATCTTTCCCTGCCCACAAACCTCTCTATATATATTATAATACTAAATAAACAAGAGAATGAATGAGTGAATGAGTAATTGACCTCTCAGATTCCCTTTCAGTTCTGGGATAGTCAGTTCCATCATCCAGCTCAGCTTTTCTTTTCTTTCCCTCGCTCCCATTTTTGTTCCTGCAAGAGCTTAGAAAGAACATTTATCCCTAGAGACAGAAGCATCCTTCTGTCTTTCACTGCCTGCCCCTCATTTTGTATGTGAAATAGCTAAAGGGCAGAGGGCAAGTGCCTTGCTCCAGGCCCCCCAGCTCGGATATAAGCAAACCAGACCAAGAGCCTTGCGCCCTGGTAACCACTTTAGTGTTTCTTCCAAGACATTGTCTAGGTATTATTCTTTTAGCTAGTTTTAGTTAGGGCTGCCATCGGGGAAAGTGTGACCTCACCTCCTCCATGGCAGTGTTTTGAGAACAAACTGGATTCTCACGGTTCTTCCAATGGTGGCAGGGTGCCCATGTCAGGCAAGGTATTTTTCATACTGAAAAAGAAACAAAGATAGCGTCAGGACTAGTTTGTAATTTCCCCAGAGTTGCTGGACTCTAAAAACGCTTTGTTTCCCTCCTCAGCTTATAATGCTACCCTCGTCCTTAGTAAAGTACAGCAGGAAGGTAGACTTGTTCTTTTTTTTTTTTTAAAGAAAATTTGTACTTATTTATGTACATATTCATTTCCAGATGCATTTATTTTTGCAAGCGGCCAATATGGACATCCTGCAACTCCCACCCCTCTTCCTCCTTATTTTAGACATTTTACTTCTCTCCCATGGCCAAAAACACTAGTGTCATCCCTAGCCCCCGGACATCCTTCTTCCTTCCAGGCAGGGAGACAGCCAGCATCCTCATGCCTCCCTTCCCAGGGGGCCCAGGCTTTGACCTCACAACTGCTAGACCCTCATTCAACATTTAATCACTTCCTCTCTCAACACCCCGCCTGCTGTCCTTCACCCTGACTCCTGGCTGTGGCCTTGAGATCCAGGTGGAGAGAAATCCAGAAGGGAAGGAAATGCAGAATCATGGTCAAATATTACAGAAACAAATAATAAATAAATACATTATTATTATATTTATATATTAAAAATTTATTAAAATTGTTTTATTTCATCATACAAGCCAGTTCCACTTGTAGTTTTCATTCTTCCTTAAAGCAATAGCTAAGTTTATAATCAGTTATCAGTTTCATGCATGCTATAAATTTCAGAAAAATAAATTTAAGAATAGTAGGAATTGTTTAATATTGCAAAATATTTATTAGTTCCTATATAGCTACCAGGCAATTCCTGACTTCCTCCAAGACTAAAAGTAAAACATAAAAAGAAGCAAGAAAACAGATTCTGCTATTCTGGGAAAAGTTACATCATTATGCACCTGCACTGTCTGAAAGAAAAGATCTCACAGGACCAGTTAGTGATGTGTTTTGTCTCGTATCCAACAGCTCTTGCCATTTGCATGCTTCCCATACTCTTGTACGGGCAGCAGACAACCCACCGAATCTGTCAAGGCATGGGAATATCTCTGTCCATGCTTGAGAGAGTAGTGGTTGAACAGGTATATATATCTGTCTAAGCTGCTCAAACTAGATACTTATATATATTCATCTTCTTGCATGTGTATTTAATGTGTTTTGTGTACTTGGGACAAGATACAGCAGTGTTTCCCTGGTTCCTGAATGGGGCTAGGCAGGAGGAATGTCAAGTGGATAGGACACACAGAGTCAGTGCTGAGTACCAGCTACTGAGCGTCAGAGTAATTAAACAGTGAGTAGTTGTGTGGATATACAAGGCCCCTAATGCACAGGACCTAAGGAAGGATGCTCTCTTGTGCAAACCATGGATGGTATTGCTTCGTTGATTCCTCCTTTTCCCACTTCTCATAACCAATTCACAAGCTGGTCCTGTGGATTCTACTTCCAATATCTAGTTTGAATTTCTCCTTTCTCTCCATCTCCACTACCACCCTCCCCCAGCCCAGGCAGCCATCTTTCCTTACTCGCACTTACAATAACATCTCCCTGACTGGCTTTTCTGCTTCCATTCTTCTGCCAGCCAGTTTTCCAGAAGGAAATCAGTACGCTGTTAAAATGTCAATAGCATAGCATTACTCTCTTGCTTAAAATCACTCCACGGTGTTCCCTTTGCTCTATAGATAAAGCCCAATTACCTTAAAGTAACCAACTGGGATGTCTCTGACCTGGCCTCTGTACCATTCTCTGGCCTCACTTTAGACCGGCCTCGCCAGTCTTCTTGTTTTTTTCAACCCACCACTCTTAGCCTTCACAGAGGCTCTTCTCTCTGCCTGGAACATTCTCGTTTGACAGTGATTTGTCCTTCTGCCTCTTCAGAGAGGCCTCTGTGAACACTGTCATCCATTACTCACCCATTCTATTCTCTCATATCACAATGCCTTGTTTAATGATGTACTTGAGTGCCAGCAAGTTTGTGTGCTCCTGCCCCAACACAGGAAGGGACTATTCATTTTGTACTTCTAGCACCTACTTCATCCTGCATGAGGAGAACACTCAATATCGTTAAACAAATGGCTGTTTTAAAACTGCAAGATTGGGGGCTGGCCAAATAGCTCAGCAAATTAAAGCGCATGCAAGCAGGTGCAAGGGCCAGGAGTTCCATCCCCAGGCCTGCCATGCCAGCCCTGTCCCTGGGGCGTGCTGAGATGGCAATTGAGACTGGGCGTGGTGGTACATGTTTGCAATCCCAGCTCTTTGGAGGCTGTAAACAGACAGATCACTATGAGTCTGATCTAGCAGTAAAACCCTGAACACCCTGCAGACCCTTCCCCAAAAATACAAAAATGAACTAACAAAAAAAAACTTGCAAAATGGCACAGAGTCCCGGTGTTTTGGAAGACCAGTGTGGAAAGTAAAAGAAGTAGGGGGGAAAAAGCTGGAGGGAGGAGGCTGCCATCTGTGCTGGTTTTAAAATCTCACTGGACCAACTTTTACTGTTGAAAGTAATGATTAGAAAACAGGACTTAGCATGACCCTTATGTAGACTACAGAGTGAGAACTCTGCTTTAGTGCCTGCAAATCCATACTTTAAAAAGAAGGGTTAGGAGTGTAGATCAGGAATAGACCATGAGCTGAGCATACACATGACCCTGGGTTTGACGTTAGCACCCCCCCCCCAAAAAAAAAAGGAAGAGAAAGAATCATCCAAATTATTCTGGATGCATTCAAGTCAATGCAAAAAAGAGAAAGGAACTAGGTATGGTGGTGCTTACCTGTATTCTGAGGAAGAAGGATTATGAGAGTATAAGGCTAGCCTGAATTACACAGCAAGACCATCTCAAACAAACAAAGAATTTTTTTTTTAATTTTATGCATAGTCACTTTTTAGAGCAGTTTTAGGTTTACAGAAAATTTAAGCAGTAAGTTCAGGGAGTTCATACTTCCCCTTTTGCTCTCATCCTCCTTAGTTTTCTTCATCCTTAACATCTTATTCTGGCGTGACCCATCTGCTATAATTAATGAACAAATATCAGTATGATTTATTCATAAAAGTATTGGGGACCTGGCCAAAATCCCCAACAGCCTATGTGAGAGGTATGGTGAAAGGATGAAATAGGAAACAGATAAATTTAGTAATGCACAAAGGGGGCCTGGGAAGTCCATGCCTCGGGATGGGCAGAGACAAAGACATTGCAAGCCAGCCACTATGTATTGTGGGTATGCAGTGATAGGATGGGCTAGTGGAAGAGTCTGATAATCCCAAGCCTCCATTTGTCCCTTAGGGAAGTATGCAAAATTAGCCATTGTGAATTTGTGGTCTCTCTAAAAAGACTCCTGCTTCGTATCAAAACAAATCCTAGGCTGTCACTGAAATCTTTTACAGGAGCAAAGCCATTTGAGTTATTTTTCCCACCTCAGACATATTTACAGCCTTAGGTGCACTGGGACAGAACCTCATAAAATCCAACCTGTTTCTCTCAGAGCCTGGGGCTATCTTAATGGTATGTTATTGGGTTTTTAAAATTTTTCAATCACAGCACTGCCACTGATGACTCAAAATGATTTTTGTGATCTACTCTGAAACCTACATTGTTTACATTTGTCGATGCTAGTTTGTGGCTGTAGCTGATTTCCTGGCCTTGAACGTCATTCTGGTTTTATTCCATTTTCCCTCTCACTTCCTGTCCCAGCCACCCCTGTGTCTATTTCCCAACTGGAGGAGGATTAGCCAATATTTCTGCTTGAGTAGCTATACTTTTGCTCCTTCAGCCCCACAAATTACACACCCTCTGTACATGGACTGCCTTCCTGTGTAGAATGGGGCGGGGGTTAAGGAAGATGACCTCGCCCTGGTTCCTTATCTCAGGGGCCTCATCACTTACATAGGTCTTGTATCACCTCGGCATAGCATGTGAAGTAAAAGTTTTTCAAGGACCTAGCAAACTATTCAAGAACAGCATCCTTTATAAAAAATAAATTTACTTATATGACACTCCAAAGGCCACACAGCATATGCTGTAGTCTACCTCTCCTTTGAAGACCTAGCCAGTCTTCCAAGTTGCTGACTTGTACCTGAACTAGTTCCATTCACACTGGGACCTGCCCTCCACTGAAAATGAACCAGCCCTGACAAAATTCACTGTGCCTTCCCAGGTATATGTAATCTGGAAACATTAACTCAGTCATGCAAGGATATAAACTTTTGCCCCCATGGGTCATAGCTTAGAGCATTCCTTGGATCTGGCTAAAGCCTCTGATTTAACTGCTCAATTTCTTCCTTCAACTAATCCTGTTTCTATCACACTCTTATATGTGTTGCAGTACTGGACAATTGTATTACATATTGTACTACTTAGCATAAGTCCAGCATTGGGCCTACAGAATTGCACAAACTAAACTACTGAACACCCGGGAGACGCCAACTCGGCACTTGATCTTGCAAACTCAGTGCCTTCTGTGTGCCAGAAAGGCGCTCGGCCACTGAGCCCCCGCCCAAGCCTGTGCCGGGTCCAGAGACCGGACACCCGCAGGAACTTCTGCCAAGACTGGTGAGCAGAGGTTCGGGGCGTGACCCTGAGTCCCCGCCCCCAGGGCCAGGCGGAGGGCGGGGCCCAAGGCCGCCGCCAACCACGCGATGCCGATACCCAGGCCCGCGATCCGGCTGCTGTGGCTGGGGCGGCTGCGGTACGCCGAGCTGCTGGCGCTCCAGGAGCGCTGGCTGCGACGGCTGCAGGCTGAACCTGGCCCTGAGGACTCGTTGGGGACCGAGGCGGGCGCGCTCCTGCTCTGCGAACCCGCAGGACCCGTGTACACAGCAGGGCTGCGCGGCGGCCTGACGCCCGAGGAAACTGCGCGGCTGCAGGCCTTGGGTGCAGAGGTGCGCGCCACAGGCCGCGGCGGCCTGGCCACCTTCCATGGCCCAGGCCAGCTGCTCTGTCACTCAGTGCTCGATTTGCGGCGCCTCGGCCTGCGCCTGCGCACGCACGTGGCGTCGCTGGAGGCGTGTGCGGTGCGCCTGTGTGAGCTCCTAGGTCTGCGGGGAGCGCGCGCGCGGCCCCCGCCCTACACCGGCGTCTGGCTGGGCGAGGACAAGATCTGCGCGATCGGTGAGCACCACTGGGCGGGGCGGGGGCGGGGCGGGGCGGTGGAAGCACCAGCTTTGAGTCTGAGCTGACCGTCGAATTTAAGGGATTAGCACGTTGCCCAGATAACCTTGTGGTTGGAGGGGAGACAGACACGTCCTGAGAAGTTATGTAGGTACACTCATTGTTATGGATGGAAATACTGTCATTAGAGAGCTACTTCCTGTGGGAAACTGAGTGCTTTTAAAATGAATCACTGTGTTTAAGGAGTCCTCAAAACCGACCAGTACCACACAGCCCCAACCCTGTATCTAGCTTGAGCTCTTTGCCAATTCTATGCACAATCCATGTTCCAGAAAGATATATTAGAAATGGTAATCTGGCCAGGTTACTTCATTGCACCAAGAGGATCTTGAGGCCTGGGGGTGCGGGGCATTGGAGGTGAGGTAGAAGATATCTATTTTAAGAACCTTTGGTTTGCCTTGCAGGAGTCCGCTGTGGAAGGCATATCACATCCCACGGCCTGGCTTTGAACTGCTCCACGGATCTCACATGGTTTGAGCACATTGTGCCCTGTGGACTGGTTGGGACAGGGGTCACTTCGCTGAGTAAGGAGCTCCAGAGGCATGTCACTGTGGATGAAGCATTGCCACATTTCCTTGTGGCCTTTAAGGAAACCTACAAGTGCACACTAATCTCTGAGGACAGCCTCAACTAAAGGCATTCACGTTAGCTCAGCTAGGATGGTTCTGTACCTGAAAGCACCAAATCGGAGTTCAATCACCAGAACCTCGATTTTAGAGCTGGCGTGTCATTCTGTGACCAGGATACCAAGGGCAAGTCATAAGCTCTGACACAGGGTTTCCTTAGGCATGTTGGTATTACCCCAATCTACCTCGAGGTGATGGATGTGAACTTACTGCAAAAGCAACACACACTGTATAAAACAGAAGGATTGTACTATTTTTTTCAGCATAGAAAATGCAGCTACCAAGCTGGGGAGATAGCTCAGTAGAATAAGTGCTTGCCTGGCAAGCACAGGATCCTGAGTTCAATCCCTGGTACAGCAAAAAAAAAAAAGAAAATGCAGCTACCATAGACTGTCATTTTTCAATCAATTATTTGTTACTTTCTCAGTATTGTATCTAGTTGAGCATTTCTGGTTAATTTTGTGAGAATCCTTCAGGAGGCTGAGGCATGAGGATGGCCAGGAGTTTAAGGCCAGCTAAAGTAAGACCATGATAAATTTTACTTACTTATTTTTTGTGGGAATCAAATCTTTGGATGGCCCAGGTAAAAGTGACATGATGTACTCATTTTCTTTCTCAAGAGATAAATGTAGGTCCTTTTTGCAATAAAGGGAAAATCCTCTTGGAGGAATAGAACAGGATCCTGTCATCCTGTGCTGGAGTCTTCAGATTTGGTAATTCATCTGTTTTTGGGTCGGATCCCCTGAGCTAAGCCAGAGGCTATAGGAGAAACATAGTTTCTCACATTGCACAAATGCTGGGTGGTTTTTCTTACATGTGATCCCTCCATTTGAAAGCCTGTGTACTAGTTATCTACTTATGCATGAAAAACAATAAATATATATTTTTTTTCAGATTAGGAAATTAAGAGCTTAGCCAGGTGTCTCTAGGCTGAAATCTCTGCCTAAACTTGCATTAAACATGTCAGCTAGGAGTGGAGGACAGTTTTAGAGATAACCACTCAGTTGTCTGGTTGATTGTGGTTGGTGACAAGAGGCCTTCATTCCTCACTGTGTGGACCACCACTAGGGCTACTGGTGTGTTCTCATGACAGGTCATCTGGCTTCCCCAGAGCAAGTTTTATTAGAGAGAGACACCATAGGGATCACTGTTTTTTATGACCCAGTCACATGGGTATTTTCTGCAGTCTCCTAACAGATGAGCCCCATTTTACTGCGCAAGGGCCATCATAGGAACTGTGAGGGGTAAGATCTGTAGGGGCCATCTTGGAGACTGGCTCGCAGAGCCCATGAAGAGTAGAAGCAGCCTTCACACAGAGGATTCAAGGGACCCTGGTTCCAGTCTTGACTCAATGTAAAGGTCATCTGCCTTCTGGCTTCACTTTCACGTTCAAGTGGTGCCATCCCTTAGAAACATAATGGGAGCCACATTGCTTCATTAAAATGTTTTTTAAAAAACATGATGCTATTTCACTCAATGTGTTCAAAATATAAAGCAATACAAGTATATTAATAAAATCCTTTACAGGTTTTAATACTTAGTCTCCAAAATCTTGTATTTTGCTTATGTAGCACACCTTATTTTGGATTAGCCACATTTTAATTTTTTAGGCAGGGTCACATGGTATTTTAGACTGTCATGGAACTCACTGTGTATCCCAGGCTGGCTCCAACTCCTGGCAATCCTGCCTCACCATTCTGAGTGCTGGGATTACAGGTGTGCACCATATCCTGCTCGACTAGCCACATTTTCAAAGTGTTCATTGGTCACATAGGGGTAGCCTTAGACTGAATATTGTATCTAAAGTCCTCTTAAGTTCACAGAACTCCCTGGCTTCTAGGAAGAAAAATATGTCTCACTTCTAACTATTAAGTGTAAATAACTTATATCAGTTGTTCAAGCTGAAACAACATTAAAGATAATATTTCTACCCTTTATTTACAGGGATGAAAACCAAGGTTATACAATAAATTAATGACAAAGCCAGGACCAAATCCCAGATGTGAAACCTCTCTCATATCCCCTTCCTGCTGTACACATTGACTTAGAGCTCAGAACAGTATGCTTTGTATCATAGACAATCAATATTAGTTAATTAATGGTTTGTCCACCCACAATTTGGCTCATATCCTTAGTTCCCCATCCGTGATGCCATTGTCAGGGTATGGGAGTTAAGAAATGGTTGATAATTACTTTACAGTATTACTGCCAAAAAGGAAAATAATTACTCCAGGAAAAATGGAATTAGATACTCATGGTTAGATGCAGTGTTTCTACCCACCTGATATTTGCCTGCATTTGTAGCACCCTAATAAATGATCATACAGCTTATTCTTGAATGACTCCAGAGACAAAGAAACATATTCTGAAAACCTATTTATAGTGCCAGCTACTACTATATTAGCCTTCACTTCTTTAAATCTGCCTATTTATTTTTTGTGGTACTAGGGATAAAACTTTGCATTTGTGAGGCAGGTACTTATGTTGCTGAGCTATCTCCCTGGCTCTTTATTAGCCCTCTTAAGTACATTCTTTCATTGAACAGCCTGCCCAGTCCTGAATCACAAAGAATCACTGCATGGTGTTGTGGTTGATTTACTCAACCTTCCTGTGCCTCAGTTTCATTACATAAAACAGAGATCATTACAGCACCTGCCTCAAAGCATGGCAAGAAGTACCTCATGACAGATAAAAGAGTATAGTGTTGACACAGAATAAATGCTCAGAATAGGGGCTGGGGAGATAGCTGGGGCCAGGGAGATAGCTCAGTAGAATAAGCATTTCCCTGGTCAGCGCAAGGGCCTGAGTTCAATCCCTGGTTCCAAAAAAATAAATAAATAGGAGACATAGCTCAGCGGCATAAGCGCCTGCCTCAAAAAATAAAAAAATAAATGTTCAGAATATATTATCATTATTATTATTACCATTTGTTCTCAGCCTTCTTGGGGAAAGTGCTCCCAGTCCCCCTTAGCTTCTCCCTAAGACAGTAGGGTCTTCATGAGTGGAGCTGTGACTGTCTTATTTCCTTCATATTTTGGGTTATAGCACTAAGTCTATTATACAGGACACTATTTGTAAATACTAATTGGATTTGGACTATTCAAAGTCTTCTCCCCTACCTGCGTGCTTGCCTGTGCACCAGCCCTAGCTCATGTGTGTCCCAGTAATTTCTGTGTCCTTTGGTATGCATTAACTACTGAAAAGCACAGCAAACTATCATTTCTTCTGCTGGACTTATGGGACACAAACTGGTACTAATAGGCTTCTGTGAACCTATAGGTGTGTTCTCTGTGGTCCTCAGCAATTTTGCACTAGTGTATGTTTATATTTAAGTTAAGTAACAGTCAACATTTTAAAAATGGGCATTCTGCCTGATGGTTGGAACTGAAATGTAAATGTGTTTTAAGTCGTACTCTCCAGTAAGGTGTGCTCCCTTTTTCCCCACCAGCCTCCCTGCTGACATTGGCTTTGATCGTTGGCTTCCATGAGCCCTAGAAGCATTTGTGTTAGTGACCCCTAAGCTAGATATTTCCTTGAGATTCAGTAGGATGCAGGCCCCTCTATCAAAGCATCATTTCTATACCATAGTCATGGGGAGGCTTTTACAAAAGGACCATTCTGGGACTCAGGAGGCCGAGGCAGAAGGATCAAGAGTTTGAGAAAAGCCTAGATAATGTGAGACTGGAGAGAGAGAGAGAGAGAGAGAGAGAGAGAGAGAGAGAGAGAGAGGTGAGAAAATGCTCAACACCACTAATCTGGGAAGTGCAAATCAAAACCACAGTGAAATATCATATTATGCTAGCCAAATGACTTACTGAAAGGAGTAGTCATTGTATTAGTTAGCTTTTTCATTGCTAGGACAAAACACCTAATACCCATACCTTAAGGAAGAAGGATTTATTTTTGGTTCACAGTTTGAGTGCATTCACTTCATGGTCACTTCAATCCAATGCAAAAAAGGCATAGTAAAACAACTTGGTCAAGTCAGAGAGGAAAAGACACCCTCCTGAGATACACTCCCAGTGGTTTACCTCCTCCTGCTGGATCTCACATTCTAACAGTGCATTCAGCTATTAACTCATCAGTGGATTAATCCACTGGCGAATTTAATATCCCCAAGATCCCCAACATCCACTCACCTTCCAAAAGCCCCAATTCTGAACAGAGACTTGAATAATATTTTAGATCTAACCCCTAACAATGAGATGTGGAGAAAAGGAAGATCTAACACAGTATTGGTGGAAATGTAAATTAGTATAGTTATAATAGGAAACATGTCAAGTTTCTTAAAGAGAATGAAAATATTGGACTTCTGGAGGATGATGGAGTGGTAAACAGCAGAGAAACAGCCTGAGTTGTGTCCAGACAGTGGAATAAAATGATGTGAGGCAAAGGATGAAGTGGGTCACCAGGACCCAGTAAAGATCTCAGGAGAGAATTGATCTCCTTAGGGAGAGTAAAGAGAGAAACTTCAATGAAGAAGATGGAAAAAAAAAGAAGATGGAGGTACTTTTTCCTTGAGCCCTGATTCATGCACAGGAGGGACGGCTTGAACCTGCAGGTTTGCGGTGGCTACTGGTGACCCCAATGGCCTCCATGGAGAAATGCCCCAGAGGAACGGGGCAGTAAACATAGTGGACTTCTGTGGCTGGTGAGTTTTTCAGGTTTAGACAGCCCCAAGAAGAAAATAATTGGCTGGTAGCCATCATTTTTTGTTTTGTTTTATATAAAAATTCAACTTTATTGAATGTAACAACAGACAGATTTTCAAATTAATTATTTTTACTTTATGATAATTAGTTTTGAAGCTATCTGATCCATGCTAGAATTTACTAGCTGGTACTATATGAAGATGCTTGTCTATTATCTCAATTTTATATTCATAAATATATTTACATGTAGATAGATGCATTTGTGATTGGATTAGTGTGTGATAATCCCTACTGTTTGCACTAATCAAGCTGGCAATAGAGGATCATCTGCTGTACAGATAATTTGAAGCACAAGCATAAATTTGAATTTTATACAAAAATTCAATTTTCTTATTCTTACATTAATGGGAGCTGACATCTGTAACTTATAGGCAAGCATATACTTTTGTTTTCTAAGTCTTGTGCAGGTGGGGCACACGTACAGTGGCTGGCCCACAGCTTGTGAGGTGAGGTCCATGCTCTCAGGGGTGCACCATGTCCGGAAGTTCCTGCCCTTGTGTGCACACTGCAGCCCAGGCCTTTGGTGTGATCCTGTCTGCCCATAGCTTCAGCTTTGGAAGAGTTGCAGAATTTTATTCAGAGGTAAAGGCATTGCTGATAAAGGCTACTAGGAAGTGAGTATGTGATGCCCTGACAGGTGAAAAACCTAAGATTGAAACAAAAAATAAGATGCAACAAAAATCACAGAAGAAACCAGAACTTATTCACAACGAAAAACTGGCTGATGTGGTCATTCCCATTATAACAGGATTCACAATGAAGATCAGTGATTGTGGACGGAATCAGTCAGGTAAGTTTGTGAAAGTCTGCATTACCTAACTGGAGTTTATCAAGTTCCTGCTAAGAGGTCATTTGATCTCTTGATGTTATAGTTTGTGTGTGTTTGTTCTCCCAAATCCTCATGCAGTCAGTGGGGTGGGGTTCTAGAGTTTGTGATTAATTCATGATCCAACGCTTGGATTATGCGTCTGACTATGGCTGGGATTATGGGTGTGAATGCTATGCCCACCCTGAGGAGGAGACAGACTTGCTCTCTGTTGCCCTTGTTGCTGCTGCTCCTCCCTTTTGCTCTTGCTGTTTTGCTGTTTTCTGCCGCCATGAACTGCTGCCCTCTGCCATGTGTCTCTCTGCCTTGGAGCCAGCTGAGTATGGACTGAAACCTCCCAAACTGTGAGCTAAATAAACCTTTCCTTCCTTAATTCTGGATGTTAGGTATTTTATCCCAGCAATGTGAGAACAGTAACTGAGATACTTGGTAAAGAATTTAAATAGGAAAAGTTACTCTATGATTGTGAACAATCTCTTGAAACCTATCTCAGTGGAAGGCAGTTTGAAACAATCAAGACTGACACAGTTCTTATCTTAATGTAGGAAAATACACAGTAGGAATACTTAACTCAGATGGAAAGAGTGCAAAGAAAAAGAAAAGCCAACCTATGAGGCCTGTAGCTGTCTTGGAGAGCAAACATTTGTGCTTGGAACTCAGGGTAGCTAAGAACTGGCTCTGCCTAGTGGCTCCAAGTGTCAGAGTGAGGTGCACCCAAGTTCAGGCCAGAAAAAGGCACATGGAGTGTTGCAAGCTGAACAAATTGGATTCCAGCCTCCCAGGCAGAAAACAGCCTGAACTTGAGTGGAACTCAAGGTGCAGGCTTGTTGAGTTTATCCACTACCCCATCACCAATCTACAGCTGGTTCACTGGGATTAATCACCACGATTCTGGACTCTGCCCACCGTGGCTACCAGTGACAGCACAGACATGCCTTAAAGTGGACATTGTTTTTTATTTCCTTCTTTTTTCCTCTTGTTTTTGATTTTGTTGTTTTCTTTTTTCTGGATCTTGTTTTTATATGAGTATGAACATTGTCTCTAATATTTTGTTGTTCTGTTCTTGTTTTTAATCCTTCTCTCTTTTCCTCCTGTCTTCTTC